AGCGGAGTAAAAATTCAATTGGCGAATATTTGGTACGCGTACATTTTTCATTTGGTATTTTTTTTTTCGTTCAGAGCTTAACGTCCGCGTTTTAGTTATTTATCGTATGTAAGTCGGTACAGTACGGTCGAGGCGGGCGGAGGGGTAAGTCGGAGCTCGAATGCAAATTATTAGAATCACAATTAGCATTTGATTGTTGTTCGCCCTGCAGCATGCATTTAGCTAATGAAACAAGCAGGTAAGGGGATTCAACAAATTGAATTATGACGCGGCGTGCTCCATTTTCATTACGGCCGATCTATGCTATACGTCACTTGGAAACTATTAATAAGGATACTCTCTACTTCAAAACTTTAGTTTTTTGTATGATAGAGTATTAACAAGTGCGTTCTGGCTTCTCTGAAGACCGGCTAGAAAAGTATTCATTGCGTTTCGTACTTTCCGTGAATAAGGCTCACACCCATAGATTTAAATTTGAGACATCTTTTATGTAGTGCGTATGGACAATCAACACAGTAGGGTCCGTATTAAGTTAAAACAGCGAGGCATTTACTAGCAATGCTCAGTTGTAATATACTCCTGTTCATGTACATACAGTGATTTACTTACAAGTTACATGACAGACACTTGGTGCTATTTGTATGGCAAACAAAACCATCCTCCGAATGTCCTCCGGCTTGACGGATGATGTTTAGTGACAATTAATCTTGCCTGACCAAATATGCGGGCGGGATGCGGTCTTAATGACGACGTAACTACGATGTTACGCCTCCCCCCCTCGTCCCTCCTATTTCTCGGGGAACTTAAATATATTTGCTCGCGTGGGCCAAAGTAAATGCGATCAGTTGATTCGACTTGGCTATTTGTGATGTTTCAGTAGCAGCGAGAGTGCTGAGACACAGAGGAGCTTGATGTGTCTCCGCGAGGCAACGTACGTGCTCGGTACCTAGAGTAAACATTTATAGGCAAACGTGTTTTTAATACAGACGTAGCGAGACGCGTGATAACGATACGCCGTGAAACGGATCTACGTGTTGCGTCGTGTCATCGCATCTCGATGGTCTCCATTCCGGCTCACGACAAAGTAACATTACATAGATACGATCGTCACGTAGAGAGTTCCGTGTTAACGGCCTCGCGGTAATGTCGATTTCCGAATCGGTTCGCGTAACCCGAACGACGGCGGACGTACGAAGTTATAACAAGTTGCACGACGCTCTCGCTTTGTCTTTCGACGTCGAATGCTTCGGTAATAACATCGGTGAACCTACTTTATCGTAGATACGTGTAGCGCCTGAAAATGTCACGCCCTTTTGAATTTAGGGGCCGTGCCCTCCATGACTGAGTGGAGGAGGCACATCGATCAACTGTCGGAAGTATATAGAAAAAGTAAACGAAAATATGTTTTAGTAAAAATACTCACTATTGAAGAATACTAGTGAGTTAGCGAATGGCACTTTAAAAAGTTTATGATATTTGTGTAAAAAAAATCAATGGCAACAAAGGCTACGAGTCACCGGCGAGCACAGAGGACTTTAAGTACAGAGAGTAGGACGTAGACCGCTACGCGGCCCCAATTCGCATGTTTTACAAATATTATTCACACCTGCAGGTCCTCTTACAAGTCGTATGTATGTGTAGAGTGCAATTTTGAAATAACATTCAAATGAATTGAAAAGTCGCTCCTTTTTAAAATTTGGAGGTTCAATTGTACGTCACAATACTAAACTAACTCATTGTTTCAAAATTAGTTTAATATCTAAAGCTCAAATCCACTTGTTAATCACTTAGCATATTTATTATATATCTCATTTTCTTAACGATTTAACTGGAAATAAATGATATTAAGTCTTTTAAAATCAATTATTTCTGTGATTTTATTACCTTTGTCTATTACAACCACTATAACCGACTGCTTAAATTATTTAACACAATCCTCAGTGAGACGTGCGTTTCGAAACATGTGGAGTTATATCGCTGTTAATCAGAAAGTTTCAGTTCGCTGTTCTTTCAACAGCTTTCTTTTGCCTGCTACTGTTTAGTGTAATTATTTTATGTTTTACAATGGTCACACTTCTTTGTTTTTTGAGATTCGTCAGAGAAATATTAAACACATCAATGTGTAAAATCTAAAAGCGGGACACATGGAGTTGTTACGACTTAATTATTTTTATATTTATGCGAGTAGTTTTTAAATGACCTGTTCACTTTATGCCGCACGAATTTCTACAACTTTTGCGGTGAATAATTATAAAGGGTCCCGTAATTTTATGATTAACTCTCTCACCAGAAAACACTCAAAATATAATACTTGACTATGGTCTTCTGTAAGGCCGTGGTACTTCCCCCAACGAACCTGCCCATTTGTGCAACAGTGAAGCCGTTGCGAAGCCCCATCAAGGTGATGATAAAACAAACCATTTTCATCGTCAGAATTCCATGATAGGTTCAAAATTAACTATTACCGTTTAATTATAACAACTCTACTCCCTCTTCGGACTGCGCTGTAATATTTCTCTCGGCGAATGTTATCGCCGCCCTCTCATCCGATACTGGGTTCTCATTACTTTTCTTTATTACGGCTGCCAACATTGCCGACGTTAAAGAGTCGCCGGCGGCCGGCAGTAGGAATTAACCTTCCGAATAGGCCCGCGAATCCGCGCCACGGTTTCGGCCGGCCCATTTGGTATTTAATATTCAAAGGGCCCTACAATCCCGGATTCCGAGCGCGTTCCGTTTCCGCCGCCTAACCGAAACGGGCACTCGGAAGACCCCCTCCGGCCACTAAATACGATTTCGTGCCGTCTATCGAGCTATCTATCTGTGTGAAGTATTGAAACGAGGATAGGTGCCCCAATACATGTAAGCATGTATGTTTATACATACAGCCTTGGCCAAGAATATTAAGCGCCCATGACATCATTATACAGCGTGTCTTTACCATCGCGACAATAAATTAACACACATATAGACGATAACTTTTTAAAATTGTATTAAACATTTACTTTCTTTAAACATCAATATTTACAGAGTTATTAAATTTTCCAAAACAAAGAATTTTAGAACACCCTTACGTATAAAACTGTAACGTAAAGTTCATTTGTAAAGGTCACAAAGCATATGAATGGGTTGAATGAATTTAAAAGAGACAAAACATACTGTTAGAAGGAGAGGCTTGTAATGCGACGCTGTGGCAACGAATGAAAAGTCTCTGAATGTATAAATCAGTCAGTTGTTTCTTTTTTACTTAATTAGTTTGTTTGAAAAATATTTTTTTTTAATTATGGATTTTATTTAACGTTAATATTTTTTTATGATGATTTGCAAGTAGCGTTAGACGTGTGTTCATTTATTGTCGCGATGGTAACGACACGCTGTATATTCGAGAGGAATGTTTACCTTAACCGTACTTTTGGCCGAGGCTGTACGAATCTATACGTAAGCGCGTGCCGAGCAAACGTTCCCTACCGCGGAATTCCGCATTGGCAAATTACGCGCGCGTACCGGATTTATTTAGGCGCACCGCAAACGTTCGAATAATGGAATCATACATTAGTCAGACCGCGATTTTCGCTCAAACTATGGCGTGCGTTGAATTCCGGTCTGAAAGCCTGACGCTCTTGGAGTCGCGTAAAAGTCATTGTTACAAGTGTTGCACGCTTGTGCTCGCACCCGTGTTCGCTTCCCACAATTTCACCCACACGCATTACGTTTAATTTGTGCAGATAATGAGAACCGAAATCGAAATTCTCCAAAAACCTTTAATTTTGGCGGAGCATACATTCGAAACAACATTTCATTGTTCCCGAAACCGAATTTCGCATTCATTACTTAACTTTTTAATCAAATTTAATCCAGAGTTTTGAGGTTCGCTCCTCCAATTTCGCAGTTGAATGAATTTGTTTTAGTACTACAGAAGGAGCATTTCGTAACGAATCCTTATTCCTATCACTATAAGGTAGCTTTTACAGATTAGATCGCCGGAGGTATTCACGATTCAACGATTCCGAAGATTATTTGCGACATATTGATATTTTTCTATGTTATTTTCCCTCTATATTTTGTTGTCACGTTCCGATATACTTTTCCCGTATGGCTCAAATTATGTTACTATTTTCTCGGAAAAATTTTATTACACATTCCCATTACATTACGAAACCGTATCATGTCGAATTTGTCGTGAGATTTTAAAGGACTCGTGTTCATTGAAAAATATTTGAATACATCCAAATCCGCTGAGATTGTGTGGCGGTTTTAAGTTAAACAACACACCTTAGTTAACGCTCGAAAGTTTAAGTTTATAATACCGAGAGTTTGCCTCAACTCCAAAAGAATAGCTCTTTGTGTGGGTAAAAGTTATTAAGCGAAAACCAGAAAACGAATCTTAAGCGTGAAGTTTAAGACGATGGAGGTTCTTGTTTAACGATTGCTGTATTGTTTTCATAATGTTTTTTCTTGTGAAATATTTTCTTTGAGACTTAAGGTTTTTTACTCGGTATACTCGTAAGGTTTGCGTAAATAAATAAATATGATTTTTAATTTTGAAGCCCGATCGTAAACATTTGAATAACGTGAAAACTAATAATTACTTCTTCTTAACTTCTTGATGTTACGCGAATATTCCATGGTCAATGGTTCGAAACGTCGGTAATTTCAAAACAAAATAAAAACGCGATAAAATCCGTAAACTGGTTTCATTTAATGTGATTAATTACTTTCATAAAATGCAATGCACTGTAAGTTATCAGATGGTTAATGAAGGTTATCAATTCAAATTTATTATTACGAACGCTTGTATTTATAATCATGAAGTCAGCGTAAATTATCGAAGAATACTTGTTATGAATCATTCATGCAACAACTGGTCAAAAAAAGTCATAATCAATTAAATAGTTTCAGAAGCCACCAAAAACATAATTATCAATAAACGATGAAATAAATTTTCTCGCTTCGTAATATTCCTGTAAATTATAATAAACATATCGATGGCGATACTAAATATGGCCTTTTTTGTTCCAGCGAGCGCCGATCATAAGTTTGCCCCGCTGTGCGAATCCTCGCATCGCACGGATGCCGTGAGCTTCAGCACCGGTAGCGCACCACGCCGCCGTGATGATCACAACCCGCCACCATGCGTCGGCGGCCATTTTGAACCGGGAACGGAGGCGTCTGTCGGCACGGGATGGCCGTCAGCGGGCTGCAAGCGCGCGCTCGCCCTATGAGGCCCTATGAGATGCGGAAGCACGGCAGGTGGCGACAGAGCGAACCGCCGCCCAGGACGCACCCGGCCCTCCGAGTGCCCAGATAGAGACTAAGTGTCGCGTTCAGTGTAAATATAGTGCGATCGGCGAGAATGGCGGGCGATGGCCGCGGCGCGCGCGCCCCCCTGCTCGAGTGCGGCGGCCACGCGCAACCGCACAAAGCGCCGGCGGCCCGCTGCTGCTTGTGGCTCGCGAGCCACATAAACGTAAGGAAGTGCGTCGCCGGCGTCATGCTGCTCTCCGTCCTCACGATATTCTTCTACACGTATTACGTCACCGTGCCGCTGACAAGGTGGGTCCTTATAGTCGTACCTTTAAATTTAAGATTATCCTCAATCCATAAACACGGAACACCTGCCTCTCTCTCTTCGTCCGCCGATTTGCTCTGTTGAGACCTCTTTTTCTCACAAAATGCAAATACTTAGGCTCGCAGTGCCTTGGTATTTGACTTTAAGGAAGTGGAAAAGGAATTTGCTATTCACGCAACAGTTTTTACTTACCCAGTCACACATAATAACTTATATTAGCTTTAACGGTGGTAGAGCCGCGCAGCAGCCTCGGCTGTTGCACGAATGGGTAGGCCCGTCCGGGTAAGTACCACGACCTCACAGAAGACCGGCGTAAAGTGGAAGTATAATACTTTCACGTTTCGTCTGGCGAGTGAGGTGGCCGGAACCCAATTTTCAAAAGGTTGTCAACACATCCGGGTTTAGCAGATGTCCATGGGCCAATGTCATGGTATTCACTTAATATCAGGTGAACCGCCTGCTCGTTTGGCAACTTTTCACATAAAAAAACATCTTGCTGTTACCACGAAGATTAATACACCTAATAAAACCTAGGTTGGAAAAATCTGAACTGTAATTATCGTATATGACAATTTAGTTTTCACACATTTTAAAATGCCTCCCGCAAAGTACGCTCGTATGACCATTCATTTCTAAATAAAATAAGATTTGGGAATCGAACCCGCAAGTTGGCGAGACATGACAGTTGGCGAAATATCCAGTGAAACTATTCCCTCATGGTTCAAATCAAACTATACGAAGTACCTAACATTTAAAGACTTGGGCGGACGTTCGTGGACTACTTTTTAATGAGTGAAGATTTTTAATTTGAACGTAATTTAAAGTTTTGAAACTTTTTTTTTTTTTTTTCGAGGAAAGAATTTTTGATTTAGAAATGAACTTGTGTCGTCGGTGGATTATTCTCCTAATTATTAGTACCTGAAGTATACTTTTCATTCCGTGTACCAAACTAATTCAGTTTCAATAATTATTCTTGGAAATTAATTGAGTTCGTATTCAGCGTTAAACAAAAAATACAGTTACCTGAGCAACGGCACCGTCGTATTGGCCATCGTAATGTAGGACATTCATCGCCCACAGATCACAGGTCGACACTCCATCTTGTGGGCCTATGTTTATGATGATGATACATACTTTTATATACAACAGTAGATTGCTTCTGCCGAAAACTATTTGAGCAAGTGCTTCCGGGGAGAAGGAGAGAAGAGAGGAGGTGATAGCATCTTTGACAATGACGATTATGACATATTAACTAGTCTTAGGTTTCATCGGTACGCTTTCAATATTACTGATAAAAAAAACCTTATAGCGGCTTCGTAGCTTCTATAACGGCGTACATTCAATGTTTATATCCGTTCAAGCGTACATTTGTATGCACTAAGAGACAGCCCACATCATAAACAGTGAGAACGCGCCTATCGGCGCGAGTGAAATTTTTTAATAAATTCATAATTAATACGTCGTAAACACTCGAGCGTAATTAATGAGCCCCGTTGAAATATGCGTCATTCGCACAAAATCCAATTTGCCCGCTAACTATCGGCAGCAAACACGCCGGTGTTGGGGAAAATTAATAATAATATGAAATTATCACGGCTCTCGGTCAGCTCGCACAGTTACTGCATCGAGATTAGTGGGGACGTTGTTGACTGAATTACGCGCTGAAACAACACGTTGTATAACTTTAAACAAGCGCTAAATGCGTCCGAAATTCGTTTACGGCGACGTAATTAATGCGCCCGAAGCGTTGCACGAATGATGGCGCCGCGGTGGTAAAGCATTCGCTGCTTATGCTGATATAAAAAGGATTCACCGAGCTGATTATTGTCTTAATAGACCCCTTCAAAGGTCTCGATTTCCCCACCGCCAACTAAGCAGCTTCGGTGGACGTGATTACACAGGGTTTGGAAGACTGAAGCGTGTGTGGTATGTTTTCTTGTCACAAAAACTTGTTTGAAATGCAATGCAATTTACATTTCTCTGTACAATTCGTTACTGCAGTTTTTAAAACAGATTAACTGTGGTAGGGCAATAGTGTTCACTGTTGCACGAATGGGCAAGTCCGTCCTGGTAAATACCACGACCTGACAGAAGATCGGCGTAAAGTAGAAGTGTTACAAGTCAGCGTTTCGTCTGGTGAGGTAGCCGGGAACCTTTTTATTTAAATGTGGCAACGCTTATTCAGCCCTACGAAATTCATTCGAAAGTCGGTATTCATTACCTTTAAAAGTTTACTCTATAATTCACTTTAGCTTGACCCTTACCGTGCTTTCGGCAGTATATTTTTCTTTTGAATCTAATTATGTAATTCAATTACATATTTGTTTTGAGATTATTTGGGCGGCAACCTTTTTCTTTGTTAACCTACGCACGCATAACCTGCCCTCGCGGGTCAAGAGCGGCTTATGACGGACTCGCACCTACTAAAACCCCCACGATGTTTCACCTAGGCGCACATCGGCGAGGCCATAGAATCGCTTTCGCACAATTCCGTAACCCTGCCAGCGGTGGTTGCCTCAGCAGCCCCTTCTCGGGGAGCAATTCTCATCTCCTCCAGGTAAGGCACACTGGAAATCCAGCGCGCCTTCCTACGAACTCCTCCGCGTTCGCTGACCAGGGCCATGGGAGCCAGGAGATCCAGTGCAATAAGCTGCAAGCCACGGACTGACTTTAACCCAACAATGCAACAAATTCCCAAATTCGGAGCAATCGCATGATTGACTATTTGAGTGACCCATAGACATGGCTCACTTGTATAGTTGTCCGATAAATAGCATATAGTTGATTTTATTAAATTCCGATTTTCATTATTTCCTACACCCACTGTTCCTAAATAATAATTGCAATCAAGTATAGCTTACATACGTAATCTTATGGTCTGCAATGGATTGCGCGCAGCGCTAGTTAGCAAAACAAATCCGTTCATCAAATATGCAAATTGCTTAATAAAAAATTAGTTCGTATTGAATAACTTGCGAAGTATTGTGTGCACGATTTTCTCTTCGCGTGAATTCGATAATAATTTCAAAGTCGCTAGAGCCGTTTCCGAGATTCCAATTATGTATATATATATACACACTGCGCGTGGTTTAAAAGTATATGATATATTTTTATCACAATTTATAGTTCCAGTATATGATATAGTTATATTTACACCAATAGTTGTAATTTGAGTGCTTCAATGAGCTAGTGTCATATCTACCTCATATTAGTATAATGTCATTGCTCAAGCTTATGTGGAGGCCACGCAGTATTTTCTGCTGTTGACTCAATGATTAGTGTGGCCTCGGGATTTACCACGGGTTCAACGGCGTAATTTTGGAATATTTTTTATATTCCTTGCGGGTTCCACAATTTCAAAGGTTTGCTACGCATCTGCCCACGAGTATTGTCAATTTCCATGGGTGTTGGTAATCGTTTAACATCAAATGAACAACCTGCTCTTCCATCATACCAGAATAAAAAATAACAAAAGTTATCACCGCGGGCCATGAATTTCTGAAAGGTTTGCCGGCTTTCTTACTTATCCCTCTTTGTGTAACTCAAAACCATTGCAAGAGAAACTCCAATTTTCCGGTTCCTTTGCCCCGCGCATCGCGATGTACGCATAAACCACGACGAGAGCTCCATAACTAACGCCCAGTAAAACCGTTCGCACGTTCCTTTTTTCTCCCCTAAAATATCGAATGGGATTTATTGTGAAAAAATTAACACTCAATTCGTTAAAGCATCTCGGGGAAGAATTAAAAGTGTTTAACTACCGGCCGTCCCCGCCGCCCTTTGTTTACTCCGCTAAGTTAGAAAGAGCGGGCGAATGTTTCATTGTAATTTATAACGTGATTTCACGTAATTAGGGCGGATGTCGTGTAGCTGCGGCGATAATATTTTATTTTATCGACTCAAATTTACACCGCGCCCATGGACTGGGAGGAGTTTCGTCGACTTGCTCGAATTTATAACGAAACTTGTGTTCACACTAATTAATGGAAGCTGCTTCCCTCGCGAATTCCTTGATTTAAACGACTATTGTTTTATAATCGTTCGTTTCGAAATTCATAGCCCGTTAGTCGTTAAAAACAACTTTACGATGCTATTTATCACAGCCCCTCCTCACTCTTTCATTTCTAAGAGAGTATTATTAAATTATTGCCTTTATTATCTTAGTACAAATTCAGCCGTCTGATATTGTTATAGGTATATTCGTATATACCCATAATAATGTCAATTAAAGTTATCGGAATGTGAAGTCTATCGTACGTAAGGAATATAAATACATACTAGTTGACCGAGTACGAAATTTTCGTACATTATCATGAAAAATCACCGAATAGTACTGTAATAATGTTTAAATAAGTATTTACTAATAAAAGAATTAAGAAGAAATACGTTTTTCATTTAAAAAAAATCAATAGATTATGAATTTGCATTATCATGCATTGTTGCGGATAAGATTTTTCGTTATATTATTATTAACTTCCGTTAATATTATTTTATTTTACCAAGGTCATTAGTGTTCATTTGTTTTTCGGTTGTCACAGCGTGTACTTTTACTGCGGTAACATTTGCGGCTTTAAAACATGAACGAACTAAATGAGACGAAGCGTGATGATTATGAAATGCAGAAAATAACGCCCAAAAAGATCTACGGTGACATGAGAAAATATTAAGGGAAAGAAAGAAAGAAAAAAAAAAGGTCACCCACTCAGCATTACATTGCGAACAAATTTCGCGATTGCTGGTTTTCAGTGGAGCCTGGAGAGGTCGATAGATGACGACGTTGACAGTAATAATAACAATAATAATTTAACAATAAAAAATAAATAAATAATAAACAAGAACAAATTTAACAATAAAAGATTATTAATAAATATAACAACATTTGCATATTTAATTTTTGGACTTAACTGTTTGTGTATATATTTTATTCGAGTGTGCGTGCGTGTGTGATTTGTATGAGCGATTGGGATTATAAGAGTGTTTTTGGATTTGGAACAGTATACTTTGATTTTGATTTGTGAAAAATAATAAAAAAAAGGAAATAATAAATAAACTAAACTTGTCAACAACAACAACTCAAGTGCCGGATTTTTGCTTTGAAAGCAAAAACTCTTTTAATTTTAACTTAAAGGAATGAATAGATATTATTAAAAAGCTATATTAAAAAGCTTCTTCATGTAACACTGAACAAATTGGCGTACATCGGCATTCGGATGTGGATGCAAGGTACGGCGTCTACAACTGAAGAGAACACGGCTCAAATGCAGTAAATCACTTTTTTGAAGAAGTATAATATAAATTATTTTATGAAACCGGAATAAAAATGATGGAAAGTAAAGGTGGTATACATCTATAGCTCATGGAGGTTATGCCTTAAAATAAATTAACTAACTTGAGCCAAGCTTGTACTATAGGTAACTAGGTAATTGATAAACATACTTACAATATATAATACACAATATTTTTCAGTAGTGGGAAACCTCTGGCATAAGAGACAGCTTCAATATCTGCTACGTCAATCGGGATGGACATATTTCTCATACTTTATATTATTTTCTTAACTAGCCCCCGCAAACTATTCAACCGACCATCGGCGTAACATAAAAGAAAAGCTTAATACCGAAACTCGTTCTCTGTCCGTTTGAATTAAACTTGTTCTAATTAAAATTTTCGATTCCGACTCGGATAAAAGCTCTTCCGAGGGAAGTGTGGCCCATTGATGCGTATTCCTCCAGTAGATAGCCAATAAGAAGTTCTTTTGGACCAGTTATTCTTTTCAGCGCGTCGTTAAAGTTTCCCGGTCGGATCGAGCGAGGCTTTCATTAAAGCAAAAATACCACAACTCTCGGCCGCGGCCGGGGATCGCCGACCTACGGATAAATATTTCGTACCTAAATTCGTATTCCGTACCTTATTTATTTCGCGGCTATCGAGATAAACCTTAATGGCTCTTTGATGTGCGACCTGAATTAGAGCGAAGTCTAAAGTTTGGCAGTTTTTGATTGATTCGGTTCCAAATTTGAAGGGGCACAGTTTTTAATTAATTTCGGCCGACTTTTTCAATTAAAATCAATCCGAGCCTAAATCTACAATAACAGGTGGTCTTAGAACTTTTTTTTTATTACAATTGGCCCCGTTGTTTTATTGCCTTTAGTTAAATCAATTGTTTTACTTTGTTTACATTCTAGCCGCAATAAGTGTTGTAAAAGCTCGAGGATATTTCCATTACCTTAAACGCTCAAAGGTTGTAAGCCTATTGACTACATTACATAAATACCTTTTAAGACCCTCCGTCGCTGTTCCTTAACTTTTGAAAATCAGAAACTCCTCATCATTTAGTTTTTAACGTATTTACTAACTCATATTAAAATGACACAAATGAATTTCAATGCTATTGATTTTTTTTTTGTGTTTCCGGTTTCGAAATTATAACATTTGATAAGAAAAGTGTTTTAGGACTATAATCTCCAGCTTTCACAAAGTGAGAGAATATAGAGGAATGCCTGCCGGCAACCGTTATATTTTGTAACACGACCTCGTAGAAATTTTTGGTAGTGCACCGTTGAAATTTGCTGCCAGTGTAGGAGAAGTATTTAATATGGTTTACATAGAGCAGTGAATTCCCTTAGAGTTAGAAGAAGAGTTGAGAATTAATTAGAGTTCATGAATTCCCTCCAAAATGCTGGGCTGTAATATTTATTTTAGTTCTTTTTTGAGATATGAACAACAAATTAAAATTTGCACTCTTTTAAAGATTGAATATTCGATTTAATAATAATTTGTTCGAAATTCTGACTAACGGAAAATGTAATTATAAAAATTACAGAGTTTAAAAAGTTCTCGTGCAAGATACTTAAAATCCTGAAGTCTTACAGTCAATTCTAAATGTACGTAAAAACTTGATGGGGCTTCGGTTTAAAGCCGTCATAATGAAAGAAAAATAGGGTAAACGTATGTTTACGTTTCACAACGACGAGTCACTACACGGAACATGCCTGTTCTACACTAATAGAAAATAAAAATTCGAATTTGATTGGTTTTTTTTATGTCTTACGGCAGCTCTCAAGTTTTGTTTTTATTATAATATCTAGAACTATTTTTTTTAAAACAATTATCGAAGTATTTGAGCATCGTGTATGTAAGTAGCTTGTTCATTTAAATCTGTAGACGATACTTAAACCCCAGCTTAAATAAGACGTAAAATGTGTAGATAAATTGTCGAAAAACTTTTTGCAGCAGCCTATCATTTCAAAATTTGTGTTTACAGCAAATGAGACAAATTACACAATACACATTTAATAGGTTGAAACTGTGAAACGCGCAGTGACACTATCGACCGCTTAGCTTTGTTTTGTAGCGTAGATTAGAATTCTGATAGCGGCGAAAAATTGTTTTGAAAAATTTGTTTTAATTGAAAGTTAACAATAATATAGCTTATACATCAGAATAACACATAGGCTATAATTTATATACATATTTTATGTATCTAAATTATATCTGTCTTTCTGTCTGAATGTTACTCCTTCAGCGTAGAATACGCAGGCGTAGTCGCGGGCAGCAGCTAGTGTGTATATGTATACACGAACGCACACTTGTGTTTGACCAGCCCGGGGTTGCCTTTGACCGCCTTCGATCGAGCGCGTCATTATAAAACGTATCTCGTTTGTGTCCAGCCTAGTGTGGCGCGACCGCGTGCCGCGCCCGCTGTCGCAGTGCTCTCTGCTCGCTTCCGACCAGCACGCCCGCGACCACACCTCGGACGCCCGCCTCCGGATCGACGCGAAGGTACTGGTCATCGTGGAGTCGGCGTACTCGCGCCTCGGCCGCGACATCGCCGAGCTCCTCGTCGCCAACCGGATTCGGTGAGCGAGACTCTTTTTTATGTGACAAAGTGGCAAACGAGCTGGCGGTCCACCTGATGTTGAGTGATAACCGCCGCCCACGGACATTTGCAACACCCGTAGGGTCGCAGATGCGTCGCCACCTTTAAATAAAGTAGGGGCCCGGCTACTTCACTCACAAGACGAAACGCCGAAGTGTATACTTCTATTTTACGCCAGTCTTCAGTGAGGTCGTCGTACTAACCCGGACGGAACTACCCATTCTTGCAACAAAGTGAACACTGTTGCGTGGACCAAACACATAAAATAATGCCGTCCGTCCGCATGTTGTTGCTGTTGCTTTCTATTGTTTGGTCCGCTCCACGGCGGCACGTAAGCTTTGCTTGTACGTACGTTAGGTGATGACAGCGGCGGCCCAGTGACTGAGACATCGGAGTTACGAACAGGGGTCGCGGGATCAAATCCAAGTGGAGTGCGACAGCGACGTTTCAACTTTTATACACTGATTGAATTTTCTTTGTAACACAGCATTTTGCGCTCTACAAAGATTTTTATTGCAAATGTTTATACGTTCATTACCGGCACGTTTAATAATGAAAACTTTCTAATGTTAACGATTGCACTGGTATCCCATGTAGACTCAGATTATTGTTACTACCCACTACTAAATAATACATGATTATGTACTTCATTGTGAACAAAAGCTGAGCAATTCGACACAATCGTCGTTTTAAATCTTCATAATATTATTGCTATAGCCGCTGTATATAATTGTGCACAATTTAAGTATATCTAGGTCGTCATAAATATTAGTTTTATTTCCAGGGATGGGAATTCGAAAAGTTCGTTGCAAAAGTAAATCGTTTGAGACTCAGAGTTTTGTTAGTCCTATCTCGTCTCGCTCCGTTTTGTGTAAAGGTCAGTTTAGGGTTGGGGTATTTTCACCTTTCATAAATCTCTGACTTGCTCTAAAGATGCTTATTTGCGACAAGCTTAAATCTTGCTAAGTTATTTAAAGAAATCAAAAGTAAACAGTACTTAACCGCGTCTCTTAAATCTGACTTTGCGAATTATCCTTGATAGGTTTACTACAACACTAAACGAACTTGTAACATATACTGGTAATTGTCTGAAAAGAAAGTCCAGTTATACTATAAAGAATTAATAAAAAAATTGATTCATTATAGTTGCATTACAAACTAAATTTGTTATCTGGACTGACCAAATTTTCAATCTGACTATCTGTCCTATCGCAACGTGGATGTTTTGAAAACAAATGAGGGTGCCGAGCTAATGGATTTAACATATTATACGGTATCAAACATTCACAAGAAAAAAAACGTTTTACTTTGACTTGTATTATACTATGACAAAATTATGCTCGCTGCACAAGTTTTAATGGATCCAAAGCCTCAAGCAGGAAGTTCGAGAGTTTTAACGTGACTGACGTTCCAATGGTAAATTTTCTCCTTCAATACTCGATATCAGACAACCCCTAACACTAGCTGGTGCTTGTTTATGAAATGTTTGACGACTTAGGAATTAGTTTGTTTGCGGACGATACGATTTTTGCCACGATTTAGGATAGCCCATATAGAAGGAATAGGAAGATTATGAAACTGGCAATTTCGAAATATATTAGTTCTACTATATATCACTTATTTTAGTTTGTTGTACATTATGCTATATGTAATCGAGTCCTGTACATATGACAATTCCTTAAAATATATTGAATTGCCAAAAAATATTTATATATATTTCAACACTTTAGTAACTGATGATATTGATTTTTGAATTTTAAGTATGTTTTTTATCAGTATATCGAAAGAAACATATTAACCCTATTTATCCATTTCTAGTTAGATATAAGTGTTCTACTCCATTAACACATATATTATATATAAAAAACGTTCGTTATGCAATGGAATTTTATTTTCAGCTCGAGCAAAAATTCGAACAATTACCCTTTGCCGATTTTACAAAAGTACGCGAAATTGCCAATTGTGGCGGCCAATTTGCATGTGACCTCCAAAGGCTTAATAAACTGCGAAGCAAACACGGGGACTGGATGTAATTTACGTATTATCGGGGAGGGTCAGACCGGTCCCCCGGGCGGCGGCGGTCGTCCAATTGTGTCGTTGACCGACCATCTTTTAGAGGACCATTTGTAGTTGAGCCCTGTGGTAAAATTCGTTTCTCGGAAAAACGCGAGTTGTTACACGAATAGATTTCTTTCTTCCCTTTTCTACATTGATGTTTCATCCTTTTATTGACGGCATTCTACTCATTGGAACCAAGCGTTTTGTTCCTCACGCGTAAGCAAACGAATGAAACACTTTGCCTGCGTGTTTTTACACCCGATTATAGCGACAAATATATTTCTGTCGAGCTCTAGTGCGTTGAACATCGTCTACTGATTTGTCAATACCTAACAGATAGAGGTCAACGAATGGCTAATATCTCAGGAAAACTAGGCGCGCCATCATCAAGCTTTCGCGTTTAGCGACAGAAGTTACGCTTATTGAATATTCATCGGTCGGATGAAAACTTTATGGCGTCGCGGCTTCGGTCTAATGGATTCCGCCTTCGAAATCGTAAGCGCGTTTTTATTCATGGTTATTTGCGAACAGATTTCTTTTTTCTCCTTTGAAAGCTTTGTAAAAACTCATTTCACCTGTCGTTCGCTTTTGTTCTATCTACGGCAAGTGTGGACTGTGATGAAGATTATGTGTTCAGCTTTACCCTTTTGGGTGTTGGTTGCGGTTGTAATGTTTGGGATGTTAAATTTTATTAATTTTATGTATTGCAATCTGTTCAAATATATGAAAATAGATAGACTGTTCTAGTCACTCCAGCTTCGCACGGGTACACAAAGTCAAGATTCAGATCAGATAATATAAGGTACAATCTTGCAGTTGTGATATGGTAAAATAAATGTATACTTATAAACACAAAACATAATAGACAGATTTAATATATTAACACAATCGATGATTGCCAAGCGATAATCACCATTTCATAGCAAAGATGTTAGTTCTTCATCTTTTCTTTGGTCTAAACCATACGTTTTTGAAAGGAATATAATACCTATGTCACTTAGCTTAAAATTGTATTCTATGTCATTTAGGGAAAATTGATGCTATTTTTGTATAAGTTACGGAATACGCATACGAAAGCTTAAGACTGGGCGTATTGAAAAGCTCTAAATAAACAAATTATTTTTATAACCAGCCCCCAGTTAATAAATGAAACTTACATTCAAACTGTAACACGAAACTTTAGACTTCCTCTTGTTCGAATTAGAACAATCCAAACAAACACACGCGTAAAGATGATACTTCGTTATGCCGAAGGACACTATGCTTAACGCAAGTGCCTCAACTGGAAGATTTTAGTGCTCGTATATCTTTAACGTGAGAGACCTTAAAATTCTAATGCGCACCCTGCACGTCCGCCTCTGCGTTTAACGGCCAGTGCACATAGCGGTAACACAAACTTATTACAATCTAATTCCAGCGTTGAATTATTTTTTGTATGTCACGAGTCCATTCTTATGCCGCGACTTTCTTTAGGATTGAACATCTTCCTGCTTAATTGATTATTGTTACATAGGGAACCCCACTGAGGTGCCTACCGCTTGCATTGCATTTTAGTTGTGCTATATAACTAAATTATACAGCGTGTCTTTGCCACGGCGACAATAAATGAATACACGTCTAACGCTACGTGGCAATAATCATAAAAAATATTAACGTTAAAAAAATCCATAATAAAAAAATATATTTTTCAAACAAACTAATTAAGTATAAAAGAAACAAAATTTGTAACACCTATACAACTACAACTGACTGATTCATACATTCAGAGACTTTTTCATTCGTTGCCACAGCGCCGCATTACAAGACTCTCCTTCTAACAGTATGTTTTGTCTCTATTAAATTCACTCAACCCATTCATATGCTTTGTGACCTTTACAAATGAACTTTACATTAAAGTTTTATACGTAAGGTGTTCTAAAATTCTTTGTTTTGGAAAATTTGATAACTCAGTAAATATTGATGTTTAAAGAATGTAAATGTTTAATACAATTTTAAAAAGTTATCCTCTATATATGTGTTCATTTATTGTCGCGATAGTAAAGACAAGCTGTATAATTAATATAATTATGCAATTAAAAGATAATCGACCATGCTTACATGTCTTGACATCAAAACAGATCGCATTTATGATAGGTACGGCAATGATATTATATACAAATACGAGGTAGATATCCCACTAGGGCACCGAAACTGAGGCACACAAATTACACCAATTGGTGTAATTAGATTGTACTTCTAAAGAAAATAAACTGCTATCTCTGATCGTATCGTATCGTATCGTTCTATCATCTGGCACATTCACTTATATATGTTATATAATGTAAAACTTAACATTTTTAAACGCCGCGCAGTATGGACATGCGTCATCTATATTATTAAAAATCATTGTGATACGGTCTATTCAAAGTCGGTTATTTCAAGTCAAGGTTTAATTCTGGTGTTAAGACGGGCTAGTTAATTTAAGCATACATAGAATGTTCGTCCTGATTTGGTCCTATAAAACCCCCCGGGGACGCTAATGTTACTGCTAAAGTTTTGAGGGTAGTTAAAACTGTAACATTATTCAGTAAAGATAAAAACTTGAATCGATGGTGATTCTTTTTTTAAAAACTTGTTAATTTTTAGCTCTTACACAAATAGAAATGTGTTTAGAAGTTATAGTGGCATTATTATTAGTTTTTTTCTTTTTTCAGGGTTCCGTACCTAACGGTAAAACGAGGCCCTATTACTAAGACTCCGCTGTCTGTCTGTCTGTCACCAGGGTATAACTCATGAACCGTGATGGTTAGACAATTGTAATTTTCACAGATTATGTATTTCTGATGGCGCTGTTATAAAAAATACTAAAAAATAAAATAAACATATTTAACTGGGGCTCTCATACAACAGACATTATTTTTTTGCCGTTTTTATAGATAATGG